CCAATAATTTCCTCATACGTGTCTCTGTTGATCGCATCAAGAGTAAAAAAACGTGATGGGCCGAAGTTTGTAACAAAATTAGACTACGTAGCATTAAGAAATATTCTTTTTGCATCTAGTTTCGATTGAATGTACAATGATGACGTTAATATTAAATTTCATAAGTTTATTTCTCTCCTCATAAACGCTAATAAGCAGTACAAAAGTTTCGGTTCATTCACGGGAAACACCGTTATGTCCCTGGATGAATAAAGAAGTCTTGGAGGTCATAAGGACCAAGGATTACTGGCACGACAAATGAAAACGACATAAGCAGATGGGATTCTTTTTGAGCCAATTCAAAGCGATGCGTGATAGATCAGTGGCTTTGATGAGAATGAGTAAAAAGAATTATGCCCGAAAAATAGAACAGGCGAATGGTAATTCGAAAAAATTTTTGGTAAATTGTAAATGGCGTTGTCGGCCACCCTCCGCCTTTTCAGGTACTTGCTGATGTCATCGGCTCCACTTACAGCTTAATCGTTTTTAATACTTACTTCGCCTCCATTGGTTCAACACTAGCTGAAAAATTCTAGGCACCCAGCCTCGATCATGTTTTTTTTTTCAGATTTCAATACGAACTATTTTGTCATGTACGACTAGACCTTGAAAAAATCAGGTATATTATGTCGGAAATGCCAATGAATAAATCGGCAGGCCTTGACGGAATAACTATAAGGCTTTTTAAAGAAAATTTAGACGTCGTAGGACCGGTTTTGTGTCGCCTTTTTAACCATTCTGTGAGAGCAGTCATTACCCTTCTTGTTTAAACATTTCAACGGTTATTCCAATATATAAAAGTGGCGATCATTCTCAACCGTTCAACTAAAGGCCAATCTCTGTTTTGAGCATAATTATAATATCATCGAAAAAATTCCTGACAATCGTTTCTATAAATTTATTGCAAAGTATAACATGCTCTCCTATTGAACTCGTATTTAGACCAAACTATTCTACTTGCACCGCTGTTTTGCCCCTAAGTTATTTATAAACACAGCATTGAATGAAAACAAGTTAGTAGCTGTTATCTTTTTAGACCTAAAAAAGCATTTGACACCATAGACCACAGAATACTGCTAAATAAATTACCACATTATGGTTTCTGTGGAACCATTTTAGAACTTCTTTCAGACTACCAGAAAGGTCAACAGACTGTATTAATTAATGGTTTCATGTCGTCTATGAGTTCCCTGAATACTAGTGTTCCCCAGGGTTCGGTACTGGGAATTGCTGTTCACCTTGTATATAAATGGCCTTCCGAGGATATTACAGTCTTCTAACATACCGATGTACGCTGATAATACTTGTGTCATAGTAAAAGGTCAAAATCTAGGTAATCTTGAGTCGTAGCCTTAGCAACTAATTAAATAAGGTTGCTTATTGCTTATCGAATAGTAAACTATCTATGAATTTGGATAAGACCAAATGGATTACATTTCACTCTAGAATAATATACATTAGTGCTAGTGATATACGCATTAAAATTAACGATTATGTCATAGAGCAAGTCAGCAAAAGTAAATATCTTAGTGTCACTATATATATTAACTTGCATTGACAGATGCAGATTCAGAATATGTGTTCCAAATTAGCCTCAGGGTGTCATGCACTTACTCAGGCTCGTCAACATTATAATAGAAATAATCTCCGAATACTTTAATATGCTTTCATTCATTGTCTATCACATATTGCATTGAGTTTGGTGCGGCACGTATACAACTTACCTGGACCCATTTAGACGACTTCAAAAGCGGGCAGTAAGAATTATTACTCATTCCACGTACAATGAACCCAGTACAACCTCTGTTTCCCCGAGTACTCATCTTGCCATTCGATAAGCTAGGGAAATGGAAACTAGCCAAATATGTATACACGGTTAATAATTACAACCATCCTTTGAATGTGTCGCTGTTCTCCTGCCCCTTCCCGTTCTACCAAACAACCAACCTATGGTAAATGGAATATTCCACGAACTAACAATCTATATAGTGAACGAATTTTACAGTTTGCTGGTATTAGGATCTGGAATGCTATTTATTAATTCATATGTGGGGTTTAACGCCCCAAAACCGCCATATGATTGTAAGAGACGCCTAGGAGGGGGCTCCGGAAATTTCGACCACCTGGTGTTCTTTAACGTGCGCCCAAATCGAAACACACCGGCCTACAACATTTCCGCCTCCATCGGAAATGTAGCCGCCGCAGCCGGGATTCGATCCCGCGACCTGTAGGTTAGCAGCCGAGTACCTTAGCCACTAGACCACCGCAGCGGGGCAAGATCTGGAATGCTATACCTTTTGAAATAAAAGTGTGTTCAAATTTAACTAAGGCACTAGAAAAAACGCGATTTAGATAAATGCTCTGATTTTAATCACAGGTCATCTTTAGTGTGATGGCTGTCCTAATTTTAGTATGTAAGTAAACGTTGTTATTTCTTTCATTTCTAGCTCTTTGTGTGGGTATTTCATGTACTGTTCTGCTTATTTTCGTATTATTTATTGATATTATATAACTTCTTTAGTTACGCTTTTTCGAAGTGCCCTTATAAAATGCACCTTTCTGCACCCAAACTAGCCAATGGCTAAGGGTCCACACAGTGTGTGCCAACTTTCTGAAAAAAATTGTGAACAATAAAATTCTGATTTCAATTCAAATGACGAAAAACAGCATAGCGAATGCCGGCATACTACCCAAAAAAATCATTATTAATGCCCTAGTGGGTATTACGCAACTGGCTGCAATAGTTGGCCAATGAGTGTTTTGAAAAAGCTCTGAAAGGCCACTCTTCTAGCTTTCGCTGTGATTTAGCTGCGCCTTCCGCGCAGGCCTGTTTTTTTTACTTTAGTACTGCAGAACTAATCGGTTTACGCATTGGCTGCCATCAACTCGGGCGGCTTAGTAGGAGTTGGTCGCGGTGAACTTCTCTCTCAACTAAAATTTAGCGCATATTCTGCAGGTGAAATTCGACGGAGAAGTGCCTGAAGTTACCACAACAATGCAGAATCAGTGTTGACAAAAGTCCAGCTGAGGCTGCCTAACGGACACCACATTAGTCGCCATTTCATAGAGCGCCACCGTCGTCGACAACACAACGTCCCATCCTACGTTATCTTACTTCCTGCATGAGTCCCCACAAACACGGGCGTTCAGAAAAGTTTGAAGAAATGACTAAGTCAGGGAAGCAACCAAAAATTAATCTGCAAGAATGAATGAATCAGGGCATGAGAATCGTCAAGGAAAAAAAATAGCGGGAAACTGTTTACCACATATAAAGGTGCTTTATTCCTAACCCAACAGCACTAACTGGCCTGAAAATGTTATCACGACGCATGGGCTCAAAAGTAGAAGACCATATAAGAGTTGCGAAAATTCGATGAAATTGTATATAAAATCTTGCATAATAGATAAATTGGAGTACGCAGTAGAGCTTTTTTGCTGTAAAAGTGTGACAAGCTTCAGCTCGCCCAAATCTTTATAGGTGATGGAGAACAATCGTCTGAGCTTGTCGTTCAAGCTTAGAAACGCGCTCCCTCCAGTAATGCACACTGAGCAACGCCGGTTTTTGGAACGCGTTTTGAAACTGGTCTTAGGCAGGTTTGATTTCTGGAAAAGAATCAGAGTATTATGAGTAATAAAGCGTTTTAGAACATCAAAGCGACAAACAGGCATCACATAATGCGAATAGCCTAACGAGTGGGTTTTGCAATCATAAAACATGTTCAACCCGTCAGAAAACGTGTTCTTGACCACTCATTAACTGTAGTGCATACCAACTTCAAGCAAAACTGTTCATTGTCAACAGGCGCAGCGTAAAAAAAACTGCAAAAAATTCTTAGCAACTGTGTAGCCTATACCACTTTTATCCGAAGAATGTAAAAGAATGGCATAGTGAACGTCGGCCTACTACACAAAAATTTTTTATTTATCGCGCAGTGGGTACCCGAAATTGTGCCTGTAGCAGTTACCCAAATAGTTTAGAAAAGGCTATGAAAGGCCGCTCTTCTAGCTTCCATTATGACTGTGCTGCGCGTTCCGTGAAGGCCTGGCGGGGTTTCTTTGTTTTTTTTTTTTTGTCCACACTGGTTCGCTCAGCTTTATATGCTTAGTTCCTCCATATCCAGATTTTTGTTTTGTTTATCAGCATACTTGAATGACTACAACAAGGTGAATTCAATTTTTCGCTCTAAGAGCAGTCAATCAATCAACGTAATGCGGTAATCGCTAAAGTCTTAAAGCACTGATCTGAAAGCCCTATTAAAGTAGAACCAATCGGAAAATGCCAACTTATAGCCAGGTCATCAGTAGCTAAGGAACGTCAGAAAGTTTATATTCCTGGGCAGGCACTGCAAAACAATGTTCATAAGCCTATTTAATCGATGTGCCAAATAACCATGCCAGCGATTCCGGGTCTTCTTCAGTAGTGACTTGATCGCGAAGCCTCGCCTATACTCACAAACACATTATTTCTGTAAGAGCAACAACGTTTCATAAAATTACAAAGCTTTCCTCTTGTTCGATCGCTACCTTTTTAAGAAAAAAGTGTTCATTGCACCGCAATGGTTATATTGCATCATTCGGTCAAATGAACAGTTCAGACAGATTAAGTAGGACACATCTTATAAGGCCGCTTTACATTCATGTTATTTTCGCTAGGCCTACGACGCAACGTAGACAGCTGCTGTGGTTTTGTAATGAGTCCAAAACGTTATTTCAGCATTATGAATGTCGAATAAGAAATACGCACGATATGCAAAAACCATTTATGACGCGGATTTTGACTAAATATTCGTACTTCGAAGAACAAGGTATGTTGTAATGCGCCCCCCCCCCCTGTTTTTTTTCCCGCAATATTATGCTTCTCGAAAGGTACATTACAGCTTACAGTAGCAGCGCACAGATGTGGCGTAATGCGTCGCAAAAAAAAAAAAGAGTGCTTTTCACTTAACGAAAGACCCACTCACCTTGTTGACGTCCGGCCACGGCGCGGTCAGTTATCGTAAAAGAAAGTACGTCGCTGGCTGCCCCACCGACAATACGTTTTATGACTGCACTCCCCACATCTCTTCCTCCGTGGTCGTTTATCTAAACGTTATCGTGAAATCCTTGCTTTCTAACAGCGTGACCCATGATTCACACCTGAGCAGCGCGACTCCGTTTTCGTTGAGTTCGGGTCGTCAATAACGCCTTGATTTAAATCGCAGCGCTAAAAGACGATGCACAAGATGAAGTTAAACCAACTCGCCCAGCTTTGTACACTGTTGTCATTATTGCCGTCCTTATTTCTACAAGCCGCACGGGACACGGAGATAACGTCGCTTACATATATATCCAGTTTAGTGACAGAACCTTAGGTAAACAGATTAAGCGTAAGTGGTTTTTCAAAACACGGTACAATGCGTGCAGTTTTTTTTTATTTGTTAGCAACGTTGCGTTTACTTACGAAAAAGCAAACTTCAATACTGCGCGTGTAATTTGCCAAATCTATCAGCAGTCAAACTCACCGGATTGTTTCATTATTTTTCTGTAACCCTGCACTGTGGTCTATTGATTACAATGCTCGACCGCTGACCCGATGATGGTCGCGGGATCAAATCCCGGCACTGGCAGTCGACTTTCGATGGAAGTAAATATTTGCTATTATTACTACATTTTTTTATTTTAACGTCAGGTTACAAGGGAACCTGCAAAAAAGTTTTTCATCATGCTCAGAAAAGGCTGTTGATCGATAGTCGAGGCTTCCGAGAACACGCGAGCCAAGTAAAATATGGGCCAGCTCGCAGGCTGGAATTTGCAATACATTCTGACTCACCTGATAAACGTTTTCTATTCTATCGTAAAATGACGCAGCATACCCAAAATCATTGCGTAAAAGCCCTAGGTATCACGCCGTTAAACATCGAACATTAATCGTCACACTTCCAGTTTCTATCGATCTCTCCCGGTCTCTATCGACGGCTCGTCTGCACAAAGTTGCGTTTTGTTTTTTAGTTTTGTTTTCACCACGCGTAGTGCCGAAATCGTGAATAGTTCTGTGATTTCGGCAATAGCCACTTGTCGCATTGAGTTAAAGCTACTCGAGTGACAACTTGACAGCTGGAAACTGAATTGCCAGCACGTTCTCGAGGTTCACCCAGGCAGATGCGCAGTGTTTCTCCCACTGCACACTTCTGTATTTTCCTGTAGCACTGTTGTCTTTTTCGCCCCAGAAAAGCTATCAAATCTTTGTAAGTTGGTGATTCAACCAGCTGCGAATACAGTAAGATGCTCAGTGAAACACGGAACGCGCTTTGTACCTTGTGCTATTTTTTCGTATGTCTTAATCTGCTATCCTGCGGTAACATACACACAGGGCATCCCGGAAGGTGCTTCAATGGTCATTTAAAACGCAATAATACAGCGCACAATGCGGTTCAAGGACTGTAAAAAAAGCTTGTTGTTGGGCTAGTTGGTATAACATTTCAAAAAATAAGCGCAAACACACGACACATTCTTGTGCTGTGCGTGTTTTATGCCTGATTGTGTGTGTGCGTGAATGTGTCGTGTGTTCGCGCTAAAAGTAATTTTTGAAACAGTTCAACGACACTTCAGAATACATTGCCGAGACTTCGGCTGCGTGTCCCGCTTTGAGCGTTGCGAGGGAACAGGCAAGCACCACATATGTGATAATTGAAGAGTATCACATAAATAAGTTTGACAATACAAGTTCGATTTGCCCGTCAGTTCCACTGTTGCAAAAAAAAAAAAAAAGATTGCGCATCTCGATCCTTTTTAAGCTGTGGATTTCTTTCCAGTTCTATCAAGAAAAACTTATCTGACATTGTATCGCAGTTGTTGTTAACTGCCCCCTTCTACGACTGCCATTCTCTTCTTTTTTCGTCTATATATAAAGAGTTTTCTTTCTAAAAGAGCCGAATGCCCTTTGAGGGAAACTGAAGAAAACGCACTTTATTTTTCTTCTCCAGTATGTCCCGCTCCCCTAAATACGAGAAATCTATATTGTGGCTAAAATCTACATAGCGAAATATCATCAGTATTGTGGAGTGAAGTTTGTATTTTATAGATTGAAACATTTCCTTTGGACATGACTTAGCTCGTAAAATAATAGTAAAATGGCTCTGATTTACGATATAGCAATATTTTGCGATAGAATTGACGTCATACTTGTGCTTCCACGCATGGGCGTAATGACAATACTAGAATTGAAGAGCGAGTAGTCCTTAGTGGCAAAGGGCGCACTATGTTGGACAGTCATCAGTGTTTTCTTGTTCCTGGCATCAATTTAAGACCTTGAAAAGTTTTCCAGTTTGTTTTCTGCCATGCCATTTCTCACCACTTCTTCATCTTTAGAGAATAGTAGACGCCCATTATCTTTATTTCGTGCCTACATTATTTCAAACAGATTGTGTTGAAGTCAAGTGAGGACAAGATACTGTTGCACTGAAGTCGAAAAGACTCACTAAGATGCAAAAAGAAGTAGGCAAGTCAACCTCTTACTGTTTACAACCAAGTTTTGTCATTAAGCATCGTGTCCTTCAGTAAGTGCCAACTCGCGCTAGAAAACCTAATTGTGGAACGTAAACACGATAACAAAGCTACTAAGACACAAACGAAGCTTATAGGGTGGGACCATGTTGGTTGTTTTGATCATGTTTTGCCGCAGTGCTTGTTTAATGATTGTGGCTCACTTTGATTGAAACGGTTGGAGTACTCATGTTACAATACTGAATAGCCCCATTTTGATTTTAACTGTTCTAGAAATGGAATATACTCAGGCATGGTTCAAGTTCCATAGAAATTTAGCCTAGTTTCGGTCTCTGCATTTGGATGTTTGATGTTCGGTGGCGCAAGGGCCATTTCATGGCTAAAGAGCGCCAGTTCATCCTATTAGATATAAGGACAATGATTGTGATAAGCGGCTGTATAAGGGCCATAAAATTCCTCGCGCTAAGGCGGGTAAAAATATAGAAGTTATAAAATCATGACCATGCCGTGAAAAGTGTGTGGTGTTAATGGATGACAAAAGTTTGTGATAATAAAAACGATGGTGGACATGTATGATATTAGCACATAGGCCTCACTCGTTTCACACCCTTCCGTCCAAGTGCCGTGAGGCAAGTGCTTTGTTGAGTGTAGCCACCACAGCGGAGACCTCTTAGGAGAGGTCATGCTACGGAATGCCTGGGTACATGATATGAAAAGAACGAACTTCTATAAAAAGCTAATTATTTATGTGTAATAAGTGGTTTCCTATACCGACGAACATTGCAGGATGGAATGGTATCTGTTGTCGGTAGGGTAACGGAAAGTGTTCTCAGCGTGTCTAATTGTTTACACTGGTTTAGATAGAATGTGAAGTACGGTGAGTGCTTCTCCACATCTATCATACAAAGGTGGATCGCCCCCAGACAAAAGAAATGAATGTGTTGTGTGTGTATGTCCTGTTCTTAACCTTGTAAGGATTACTTTTGTGTGGCGTGATTTTGATACTGGCGGCCAATGACCAAGTTGCGGCTTGATGACACTGCAATTCATTACCTGTGCGTGTGTTCTATTTGCACTGCCACTAGCCCCTGAGCCTTCGTTTTAGAGAATGTTTCAAGTCGAGTACAGGAACTCGTATCGATGTATTCGAAGCGGTTTTGTTGGCGGATCCAGCTAGCTGGTCCACCAGAACGTTGCCTTGAATTTCGCGGTGTCCTGGCACCCAGCAGATTACAAGAGTAGACTGCCTAGATGAGTAGACTGTGCATAAGAGCGAAAAAAGTGAGACAAAGACAGGGTTTTTGTGCTTTTTAGGTGTTTCAGAACTTTTACTACGCGTAGGAATCTGTATATATTGTAACGGTGCATCATCGACAGGAGCAAGCATGGCATTTTGCGAAGACGACGAAGACACCTGTGCGTTAGACGCTAGCGCGAGAGGGGACTCAGCCAACTTGTTCGGCTGCTGATTCTCTGTGGACGCCATACTATAAGCCTAGATCTCGCCCCGTCACATTTGATCGACGTGCTGGGTAACCGCCTCGCAACGGAACTTCACAGCAGCCGTCGTTTGAAGGGTCATTTTGCAAGGATGGTGGAAAATACGGCATCTGCATCTGCCCCTGGTGTTCCTGCGCCTGGAGACGATGCGGTGACCACATCTCTTCCTGCGACCACAACATTCATGCTCGAACACCCGTGAGATCCTGGCACGTTTTACGATTCCGGTGATTCAGATGAAGTGGACTTTAAAGATTGGCTGGCAGAGTACGAACGTGATAGTAGTCAATACCGATGGCGCCCGATTCTTATGCTGGAATGCCTGTTTTTTCTATCTTAGGGGAACCGCCAAATCGTGGTATGAGAACCATGAAGCAGAACTTGGGAGTTGGGCAATGTGCAGGGAGAAAATGGTGGAGCTGTTCGGGAAGCCGATTGGAATAAAAATGGCCGCGAACAAAATGCTCGCGTCTCGGGCGCAGGCCTCGACAAATTCATACGTCTCGTATATAAAAGATGTGTTAGCATTGTGTTGCAAAGCCAATTACGAGATGCCGGAGGCTGTCAAGGTCTCACATAATGTCACGACGTCAAAACAGAGGTCTTGCCATAGAGATTGAGACACCAGAATCAGGTCGGTTCTTTTTAATAGAACGCGCAAGGGAGTTCTTTTTCATTCATTTCATTCTACTTTATGGCACAAGCACAACTGCCATTGTCTTTCTTTTTGACAAGCACGTGACATTCGTCTCCCTCCGAATAGGGCATCGTCCCGATGCGCAACTTAGGTGCTCTACCACGCGTATGAAGTGGTCGCGTCAACTAGATAAATACGGTTTCATACGCACGACGTGTACGACTTCGGGTAAATGCTTTTGGCGCTTGGAACTACAGTCAGTGTCGGGAACAACTTCATAGTACACGTGGTTCAAGCGCCGCCTGATGCTTTATGTGCCAAAGTACTATCCTAGCAGTTTTTCCGACAGTCCACGTCGACGTATCGGAATCCAGACCCAGACCTTGTCGCCTGGTGTG